GTCCCGATTGACCACGGTAATATTGACCACGGTCCCGATTGACCACGGTAATATTGACCACGGTCCCGATTGACCACGGTAATATTGACCACGGTCCCGATTGACCACGGTAATATTGACCACGGTCCCGATTGACCACGGTAATATTGACCACGGTCCCGATTGACCACGGTAATATTGACCACGGTCCCGATTGACCACGGTCCCGATTGACCACGGTCCCGATTGACCACGGTCCCGATTGACCACGGTCCCGATTGACCACGGTCCCGATTGACCACGGTCCCGATTGACCACGGTCCCGATTGACCACGGTCCCGATTGACCACGGTCCCGATTGACCACGGTCCCGATTGACCACGGTCCCGATTGACCACGGTCCCGATTGACCACGGTCCCGATTGACCACGGTCCCGATTGACCACGGTCCCGATTGACCACGGTCCCGATTGACCACGGTCCCGATTGACCACGGTCCCGATTGACCACGGTCCCGATTGACCACGGTCCCGATTGACCACGGTCCCGATTGACCACGGTCCCGATTGACCACGGTCCCGATTGACCACGGTCCCGATTGACCACGGTCCCGATTGACCACGGTCCCGATTGACCACGGTCCCGATTGACCACGGTCCCGATTGACCACGGTCCCGATTGACCACGGTCCCGATTGACCACGGTCCCGATTGACCACGGTCCCGATTGACCACGGTCCCGATTGACCACGGTCCCGATTGACCACGGTCCCGATTGACCACGGTCCCGATTGACCACGGTCCCGATTGACCACGGTCCCGATTGACCACGGTCCCGATTGACCACGGTCCCGATTGACCACGGTCCCGATTGACCACGGTCCCGATTGACCACGGTCCCGATTGACCACGGTCCCGATTGACCACGGTCCCGATTGACCACGGTCCCGATTGACCACGGTCCCGATTGACCACGGTCCCGATTGACCACGGTCCCGATTGACCACGGTCCCGATTGACCACGGTCCCGATTGACCACGGTCCCGATTGACCACGGTCCCGATTGACCACGGTCCCGATTGACCACGGTCCCGATTGACCACGGTCCCGATTGACCACGGTCCCGATTGACCACGGTCACCACGTTTATATTGACCACGGTCCCGATTGACCACGTTGAAATTGACCACGTTGCGATTGATCACATTGATATTGACCACGTTGATATTGACCACGTTGATATTGACCACGTTGATATTGACCACGTTGATATTGACCACGTTGATATTGACCACGTTGATATTGACCACGTTGATATTGACCACGTTGATATTGACCAGGTCTCGATTGACCACGTTGATATTGACCACGGTCCCGATTGAAAAACCATGTAACACACACACACACACACATGCGGGGGGTGCAAGGGGGGCCTTTGGCCCCCCCTCCCGCACCCTCTCCGCCAGTCAGACACAATGGACCTCGCTTTACAACTTGCAAATTACATGCCCTAGTAACGACATGTATTGATCCGTGGTCAATCGGGACCGTGGTCAATATTAACCGTGGTCAATCGGGACCGTGGTCAATCGGGACCGTGGTCAATCGGGACCGTGGTCAATCGGGACCGTGGTCAATCGGGACCGTGGTCAATCGGGACCGTGGTCAATCGGGACCGTGGTCAATCGGGACCGTGGTCAATCGGGACCGTGGTCAATCGGGACCGTGTGTGTGTGTGTGTGTGTTACATGGTTTTTCAATCGGGAACGTGGTCAATAGGACCGTGGTCAATCGGGATCGTGGTCAATATCAACGTGGTCAATCGCAACGTGGTCAATCGGGACCATGGTCAATATCAACGTGGTCAAACGGGACGCTCCCTTACGAGACACAGTATAGGTAGAAAAAGTAATTTATTTAGTGAGAGAGAAAGATAGATACAGCGTGCAGGGTCTGGCAATAGCGTGCGGTTGATGCGGTCGCTGGTAGCAGGATTTGCGGAGCGCAACGCGGAGGCGCAAAGCGAAGGGCGCAAAGCGGCGAGAAGCGCCAGACAGGTGCGGCGTGCAAATGTTCCCGGTTTTATTTACATGCGGCGGACTTATTATTAACAGGCCTTATAACTAGCGGACTTAGTACTAGGCAGGTCTTATCACTAGCAGGTCTTAAGACTAGGATGCGGTTATAACTAGCGAACTTAGTACTAGGCAGGTCTTATTATTAGCAGGCCTTAAGTCTAGGATGCGGTTATAACTAGCGGACTTAGGGTGCGTTCCGTTTCACGCATGAACCGCATGAAATGCAGCATATCGCATGAGGGCATTGACTCGTTCCGTTTTTCCCATCACTCTTACTGCGCATAGGGAAACGGAACAGACCCATGCGCGCTTGGGCTGTTTGTAAGCAGACATGGCAGATGAAATGTCGGCTGATGATGTGCTCTCTGTGATATCTTCCGTTGTTATTTGCAGCCAGGTTGATGTTGATGGAGAAGATGATAATGAAACCTCTTCGTTATCTAGCAGCAATGAAGAGGATTCTAGTGACGAAGAAAGTGAAACGCGTACCTTATATGCCATATTGATGGTGAATGAGACGCGGGGTGAAACTCCTCAGATAGAAAAGTTGACCGATTATGTGAAACGAGTTGTTCCAGGATACTCCAGAATAACTTTTAAAGAACATTTTAGGTTTGTGAATGTATTTCCCGTCAACGACTGATAAATACAGATCTGTCATATGTTTGACTTTGGCTATGTTGCAGGGTGTTTCCAGAGACCTTTCAAATGATTTTGAGACTTCTAAGGCCAGCTTTGAATGCTACAAATGCTCATGGAAGGAAGCAACTATCTTCAGAGAAACAGCTTATGGTAACGTTATGGTTCATGGCTACTCCAGATTCATATCGGTATGTATTTGATTATGTTGAAACCACTATAAGAAATAGTATATATTGCAGCTGTAACCCTATCGTTTTGTATACATACAGGTCTGAATGTGTCAAGTTTGGTGTGGGAAAGGCTACTGCATTGCGCGCTGTAAGACGTGTGACTTATGCCCTCCACTGCCTAGCACCACGTTTTATCAAATGGCCAAGAGGAGAGGAGGCTATCTGTGTGATCGAAGAATTTCAAAGAGCAAAGGGTTTTCCAGGTGTCATTGGGGCTGTTGATGGTTCTTTTATACAGATACGAGCTCCTAAAGAAGATGCAGCTTTTTATATCTGTAGAAAAAAATATCCTGCTATTCAGCTTCAAGCTGTGTGTGATGCTCGCAGTCTATTCATTCATTGCTATGCCGGGCATGTAGGGTCTGTGCATGTTGCACGTGTTTTTAGGAATTCTCCTTTAACTGAGTTCATCCAGAGGCCAGATGAGTATTTTCCTTCGAATTCTCACCTTCTTGGAGATGCAGCATATACAATTCACTCACATGTCATGGTACCGGTTAGAGATAATGGACATCTTACTGCAAGGCAAAAGAACTTTAATTACTGTTTATCATCTACTCGCATGGCCATTGAAAGAGCTTTTGGGCTTTTGAAAGTGAGATTTCGAATTTTGCTCGATTGTCTGCCTCTCACTGATATCGGTGTTTGTCCTTCGAGTCGTTAAGCGATAGCTAAGCGTTTTCCATAGAAGGTGTTTTGTTCGCGAATACACGACTGTTCGTAGACTAGACCCGAAGAGATTTGTATCCGTTAGTGCATTTGGTAGAATATATTCATATTTGAAGTTATTTACCAGCCACGGAGTATTTTCCGGTGACCATCATTCTCAAGAACAATCCTTTCCGTTAGCCTTATTCCCGGCATCTCCCGACTTTCTACGCATCCTTAACTTTCTGCGGTTAATTCAAATAACCGCTTAATAGCCAGGAAAGCTATTACAGCCTGCATACTGCAGAATGACAATGTTGATATTGATGTTTGTTCTAACAATGATAATGTTACCCCTGGTGTCATAGCAGCAGATGCAAATTTGGGTAACCAAAAGAGAGCGAGGATCATGAATGAATTGAGGATGAGACTTGGGAATTAAAATAATTAAGTGTGTCTGTAAGATGTGAAGTGGCTTGAGGCCATTTACATTAAAATGATTTTAAAGCATGAATTTGTTAATGTTCAAATTTTAAGATTAAATTGAAATAGCTTTCATATGTATTTTAATTAATTGATCAATGAGCCAGAAACAGTCTCGTTTGTTCATATGTACAATGTAATTACAAAAAGGAGAAATAAAGGTATCTAAAATCAATATTTGGTTATTTATTGCACATATATTTATTCGCAATTTTATATACAAACAGTAAAAACAAGTTGCAAAGTTACAAACATAACACTTCTCACTCTTATAGCTTTGACACACTAGACGCGATGGGCGATGATATCCAATAAGAGTTTTTTCGAAAAGGCGGAGCTCTCATTAGATATCGACTCGTTAGATATTGCCCATTAGATATCGCCCATCGTGTCTAATGTGCTAGTCTTGCTAATGCAATAGTAAAATACAAAAGGAATGTCATCCAATTCAAACTAAATTAAGTATGATATTACATAAGAAGTTACATAAAATATAGGAACAGAACAACTTGAGTGGTGCAGTCTCATAAAAAAAGTTAATATATAGGAAATATAAAACAGCGTTAAACTTATCTCAAGTATACATAAAAGCTAAATAAAATATCATCGACTAGAGTGACGCAGTCACAAATATAACCTGTGTGATTACATCAATCACAACTATTAAGAATGAGGGGATATCAATAAGTAGATCCAGGAAACCTTTCGTTCCCTAGACACTTCAAGATAATTATTACAGAATGCAATACTGCTAGAGGTAGCCGTTACTTACTAATTGAACTATACTACTAATAAAACTTAAATAGTGTAGTAATATCAAAACTATCAAATGAAAAAACAACAACATATATAAAACAACATAAGCACATCTAGAAAACTCTCGTCATGTCGGTTTCCTCCAACACATATTACAGAATGTCATAATGCTACTTGAGCTATCCCTAAACTAAATAAGGCTCCTTGCGTTCTGCAATTTTAGCGAGTAGTTCAATCAGAGACTGCTGGAGCTGTATTCTGTCTTTGTGCATTTCCATCTTCTCTTGTCTAATCTGTTTCCATCTATCTTCCTTTTCTGCTCTCCGTTGTTCTCTGTTCTCCCTTTCCTTCTGCTTATCTTTTTTGATTTCTGTGATGAACGATTCTAAAATGGATTCCACCCGTCTTTTCTTCGGTTTTGGCTGATCTGCTGCTAACTTCTCTGATAAAGTGGATGATGAAGAGCCTGGAGAGGGTGGACCATCGTTGCTAGCTATTGATGCAGGTGCTATCCATGCTTTTTCTCCAAATATTGAATCCATAACGGAGTAAAAGGCCCAAGAACTTGAATGATTACCTGAATTCTTGTTGCTGTCACTTATATTTTTGTATGTTCTTTTCAGTCCGGACATTTTATTTTGACACTGAGCAGCAGTGACATTGTACTTAGCATTCTTCATTTCGTTGGCAATTTCCACCCATATTTTGTTGTTGCGTTTCAGACCCGAGGCAAAATCAGGCTCATTATCTCGGTAGGTCTCCAAAAACAAAAGAACTGCCTGATCTGGCCAAACGAAGGACTCCTTTCTGGCTTCGTTTGCTTCAGATGCATCTGCAAGCTCTCCTGGTTCGTCAGCTTGTAGGTCTTCATTAATTACCGCCATACTACATCTCTCACTTTCTCGGGCCACCAAAAACTTGATGACTTTCTCATCTGTCAGAGCAAAATAAGTCTTCAATTACTCAGGGTTCTACAAAGGCATTCTACAAAGAGTAAGTGCTATTCCACATAAACAATTTGATTGGAATTCAACGTTCTAGGTATGAAATCTGTCCCACATAAATAGAAAACACAATCTCTAATGAGCATATTAAATGAATAATACACTACTGTTTTTTAAGGAATCTTGAAGTTTGAGGTTAAAATCAAAATTTCTTACGATATTAATACTTACCGCCGCTTGTTGCCACCTGGAATTCAATATTGGACACGTCAAACATCCACAATTCATCATTAACATAAACTTGTAGCTTTTCAAAGCTACAAGTACTTTCAAAAGCTGTTTATGAATCCTATTTGTACCACTTTGCAGATAGTCCCTCTGCAGGTAGTTCCCGCCATAAATAATTCTCGCGCATGGACCACGCATGGATTACACCACCTCGGGAGCTGAAGCAGCTCATGCGCTCTCATGCGCTGCACAACATGGCGCGGCGTTGTGGTGGGAGACCGTTCCCATGCGCGCATGAACTGCGCATGGATTGAAACGGAACGATCTCGTGCGCTCCTATGCGCATCATGCGAGAAACGGAACGCACCCTTAGTACTCACAGGTCTTATTACTAGCAGGCCTTAAGACTAGGATGCGGTTATACCTAGCGGACATAGTACTAACAGGCAATTCTAACTAGCGGACTTATCTCTAGCATGCGGCTTCTATTTACAACGCGGTATTTACATGCAGCTTATATACTAGTGTCGGGTTAGGTGGTGAGGTATTGCGGGCAAGACCGAGTGTCACGTCGGGCCAGCCTTGGCAACGGAAACCGGCGAAACCCGGCAGGGCTGAGCGAAACCTCAGCCCGGGTAGGTGCTAGGAGCCGGCGAAACCCGACAGGGCTAAGAGAAACCTTAGCCCGAGGAGTGGTGACAGGAGTTGGCGAAATCCGACGGGGCTGAGCGAAACCTCAGCCCGAAGGTAGAGATAGCCGGCGAAACCCGGCAGAGCCAAGAGAAACCTTGGCCCCGAGAGGTAGTAGGTACTTCGTAGGTCGGTGTATGGAGTCGGATCGCAGGACGGAATCTGGTCCCGATGTCTCGGCCGGCAGGGCTTATATACCCGGCCGGCGTCCCCACTACGCGTTGTCGGTCCGGCGGTGGGGATCGGTTCCGCGTGGGGAGACTGTGAGAGAGATAGCGTTTCGGGAACGAGCGAGACGGCGCATGCGGTATGTGAGCGAGCGTGATAGTACGTGCGCTGTACGTGCACGCGCCTGCCGCGATACATAGCGCGTGCGGTGTACGTGTAAGCGCATGCGGGCGGCAAGCAAGATGGCGGCGGCGGTATAGGTAAGGTTGGGCGGAGTAAGCAAGCCGTGCGTATGTATATATATATATATGTGTGTATATTTGGCCGTAGTAACGGCCCTGCCGTTACAAATTAGAGGTATCCCGACAAAATCAAAGATTATTTGGGAAGAGGAAGTTGATGTTAAAAAAGTATTTGACGCTTTAACATGGTTAAAGCGCAACAATACTTTATACTCTCATATTATATTGCCAAATAATCACAATGATTTATGTTTGCCAAAATTAAAAAATACAGAATTTCAAATGGAAGATTGATATTTGATGTAGGCGATTGATTTCTGAAATTCTATACATAAAAAGGCAGAAGAACGGTTTGAATTTGCAGACGGAAGCGACGGCATTTTGCCTAAAGCATACGGACTTCCTAAGGTCCATAAGCCTGGTTGTCCTTTCCGACTAATTGTTTCATCTGTTAATAGTCCGTTATACAATTTAGCCTCTTTTTTTCATCGCATTATGTTCCAAAATTTTCCCACCGCCCACAGCCACGTCACTAATAGTTTTGACCTGGTTAAAAAACTTTCTGATATTAGCATCGACAACAATTTTCAATTAATTTCATTGGATGTCGTCTCATTGTTTACTAACGTTCCAATCGAGATGGCAATCCACAGTGTCTCAATCAGATGGGAACATATTTCCGGAAATTGTAATATACCGAAATCCGAATTTCTTATTGCAATCAGATTTATTTTAGACTCTACCTTTTTTACCTTTAATGGAATGTTTTATAAGCAGGACTTTTGGTACTCCTATGGGTTCTCCTCTTTCTCCTATCATTGCAGATATCGTGTTACAGGACCCATCATTGTTTTCTAGTTTGTAATTTTGCGCGATTCTCTCACATCTGTTTCTTTCTTTCTTATTCGATTTACAGGTACATTACGTATAGATATGAATTTTATAAATCGGACTCTGATTTTCGGCATAACAACCGCTAAGTTAGTTACCTTCACAACGACATGAAAGAATTACCAACGTTCATGAAGATGTGAGAGACCTCCGGTTCTCTTTTTTTAATTTTAATTTTAATTTTTAATTTTAACTCATGTATAACCTTGTATGACGAATTTTATAACCATGAGACGTTAAATTTATGTTTGTTAGTGTAATTTGCGCTGAAGATGACCCAAATAAAGGGTCGAAACGTTCGAAATTTATATTAGTATTAACTTATCACTAATAATAAATAGTTTGCGCACCATGTACCGCGCTTGGCTCTAAATGCTCTTTTCTATTATATTTGATTCAAATGGAAGAGACAGAAAATAATACAGAGGCGACATTGGATGATGAGCTTGAATTATTAAATGATCCGATAAAAAAGATAAAAAATGATGTAGAAATTGTTAGAAATATTTAAAAAATATATATTGATTTGTTTTTCGCGCTTCGTAGATTTAGTTCGTCATAATGTACGGCCCTCTTAGTTATTTTTTTTGTTTTTGGTTATAAGCCATTATATCTGTGGTGACGCGACTCTCTCTCAGTTTTTTTAGTCTTGTTCCGTCCTTTGTACTAAGAAGGAAAAGAAAGATACCTAAGAGTTTAAACAGCATAATTCTGTGTATTACCTGACACTCACTAACGCTTTGTAACAACAGAAATTATATTAGAGGACCAACAGAAAGCAATGTTAACTCAAGTTACTGATGAAAATGATGGCTATTACGAATAATATACTATCTATCCCTTATATGAAAAGAAAGCAAACAAAACTGCGATAACCTTATATCAAATGTTGAAGATTCAGGACTTGCCTTTAGATAATCGTGAACAATATTTAGATTTAATGTGTTTTCCAGATTTATATCCTTTTGGTATTAATGGACAACATAAGAATAGGCAAGTCAAACTTTTTGATCACGAATTTATTAAATGTTGTTTGACATCTAAACATCCACAATACAGATTAAATCAACAATATTTATTTTATTTATTGAACAATGCAAATATTCGTCAGTTAAGTCGTAGAATTGATCATAAAATGAACATAACTAATCCGCGAGTTCGTTATACGGCTGCAGAATATTTAGAAGCAGTGTCGAAAGAATTGGGGAATTGGGTAATTATGCATATTAAGGTCCCATCCCCGCAGGATAGTGATGTTGACATATGTAGTCAAGGTCATGACCCTGATCAACATTCCGAAGGTTTTAGCCGGCGGTCGTTGTTTATTTAAAAGTTATTAACAAATAAAGTTTGAGAAGTATACCATGTAATTTTCAAACAACATGTATAAAAGAATAGTGAGTTTGACCTTGACATAACGAAAGTCGTGTTGTAAAGTATATGCGTAGATGCAGTAGATTCCGCCCCCCCTACGGGGGGGCTCCACTTTCGGAAGATATAACCTAATCCAAACCAAATTTTAGTTTTAAATCAGAAATAGGTTTGGGTTAGGTTATATTTTCCGGAAGTGGAGCCCCCCATAGGGGGGGGGGGCGAAACCCACTGCGTTTACGCATACACTTTCTCACCTACACAAGAATTGTGGGGTGGACTTCGCTTTGCTTTGTAAAGTATATGCGTGGACACAGTGGATTCCGCCCCTCCTACGGGGGAGCTCCACTTCCGAAAGATATAACCTAACCTAAACCTGTAACGCGGTCACCTCGCTCGACGCTCGGATCAGCTCGTCGGTGTCCGGGTTCGAGAGGAGGGGAGACTCAAGCTTACGAGAACACAGGTTGAAATGAAAAGATAGTTTATTCAAAGAAAGATAGATGGATACAGCGTGCAGGGCCGGGCGATGTCATGTGGTGAGCGGTGTCGCTGGCAGCAGGGTGGCGGGGCGCAAAGCGGAGACGCAAAGCGATCGACGCAGGGCGGCGTGAAGCACTAGACAGGCGCGGCGTGCAGGCGGTATCGGTTTTATTTACATGCGAGTTCAGCGTGGTTACAACTAGCGGACTTAAGCGGAACAGGCTTATTTACTATCAGGCTTTTATTACGGCGCGGTTATAGCTAGCGGACTTATTACTAACCGGTTTTATTACTAGCGAGCTTAAGACTATGGCGCGGTTATAACTAGCGGACTTATGACGAACAGGCTTACGACTAGCAGGTTTATGACTACGGACTTATCTCTATCGTGCGGCTAATATCTACAGCGCGGTATGTACATGCACTTACTAGCTAAGATTATGTTAGGGGGCTAGGTATTACCGGCAGGCCCGAGTGTCACGTCGAGCACTGCCTGAGCAACGGACGTCGGTGCAGCCCGACAGAGCCTAGTGCAGCCTTGGCCCCAGACGAGGGCAACTTTGGCTCTAGGAGCGGTGTAGACCGGAGCCGGTACAACCCGGCGGGGTCGAGGGCAACCTCGACTCCAGGTAGAACGTCGGTGCAACCCGACGGGGCTGAGATCAGCCTCAGCCCCAAGAGGTGGTAAGTAGTGGTTAGATCGGTGTCAGGAGTTGGATGTCGGGACAGGATCTGGTCTCGATGTCTCGGCCGGCCGGGCTTATATACCCGGCCGGCGTCCCCCACTGGGCGCCGTCGATCCGGCGGTGGGAGTCGGTACCGCGTGGGGACCCCGCGAGAGAGATAGAGCGTGCCGAAAGAGATAGC